GCAGGTGCCTGTAGTCCCAGCTACTTGGGAGGCTGAGGCAAGGGGATCACTTGAGTCCAGGAGTTTGAGGCTGCTTTGAGCTATGATGCTAGAGCCACAGCACTCTACCCAGGCGACAGAGTGATTCTCTGTCCCCCAAAAATAAAAAGAACTTAGTAATAATGTTAAGTGCCCTAGAGTTCTCAGCTTAAAAACCTGGAGGAGAGAAGACCAGGGAGAGAATATCCTGTTTAGAGGGAAGCTTGTTTACATGTGGGCTTTTCAGTTGGAAATAGAATCACCCCTGGATCCCAATGCTCCGTCCAGTTCAGGCAAAGTTTCTTCTTTCTCCCCAGCTGTGTGGTGGTGATTTTGAACCCCAAGGAGAACAAGCAGCAGCACATCATCAACACCGCCAGGTAGGCTGGGCCTGGGCTAGGGTAGGGGTGGGACCAAGGTCTGGGCACAGCTGCCTTTGTCCACATGTCTGGAGATGCTCGTGGGTGGGTCCCTTATTCACCTACCCACTGGTTCAGGCGACATTCACCAAATGTCTGCTCTGTGCTAGGTCCTGTTCTAGGTGCTAGGAGTGTTCACAGAGCAGTGAACAGAAGAGACAAGAATCTCTGCTGTCTAGAGCTGACAGCCCAGTGGGGGAGACACAGTAAACTGGTCAGCAGGTTACTAGCTGATCATGCACAGTGCTATGGAGGGAATGGTGGCAGGTTGGGGCCAGGAAACAGGGGAAAGCCCTATGGCAGGGCTCAGGGGAGTCCTCCCTGAGTTTGAAAACTGAAGGAAGTGAGAGGGTGACCTGTGAGAAGGTACAGGGAGGGCGTTCCCAGCAGGGCCAAGGCCCTGTAGGGGTTCACCATCTCAGGTGGTTTAGAAGCAACCAAGGATCTGAGTGCTAGGATAGGGAAGCAGGGGAGGGGAAACGAGGCTGGAACTGGCAGAAGCCACATCCTGCGGGCCTCCAGGAGGGGCAGGTAGCACACAGAGCACAAAGAGAAGCCACTGGAGGGTGTTGACAGGTCAGGGATATGCTTTCCACACCCCAGCCCTCCAGCACACTATCTCCCATCCTGCTCTACTTTTCTCTACAAAGTGTACTCTTTTAATTCCCTCATCATCTGTGGGAATCTCTGAGGCCAGGGGCTCTCTCTCCGTTCATTCCTGTGTCCCTACCACTTGAGAGTACTAGCACACTGATGGCACTTGCTATCTCTTGAATGAATAAATAACTGAATGTGATTTGGGCGTTAGGAAAATTCCTCCAGCTATGAGTTATTGGGGAAAGTTGGCCCTGAGCAGGCCTAGGTTGATACCTTCTGCCTTGAGGCTGATGGATCACTGTGTCACTCTGGGGATATGGTCCCATGGCACTCTGCCAAGGGCAACATAATGAGAATCTATCTCAAAAACAACAATAACAACAAAAGTAGGTATGTATTTCCTACCTTTGAGAGGCAGCACATGTCCCCCCTTGGCATAGCTCCTGCTCAGCTCTTCCTCATCCACTGGATAGATAAGATCTGGGTTTTCTTCTTTTCTCACAGTCCTTAAGATGTGGTCCATGAGCTATGGCAGGCCCTGTCATGTGGCAGAAATAGATTCCCTCTTGGAAGTGGCTTTTTAGACTGTTGGCTCCTAACTGTGGGCTCTGTCACTAGTGGTGAGACCAGAACTGGCTTCTGGTCCTGGCTCGAGTGTTTATTCTCTTTGTGATATCAAGTGGGGTGCTTCTCTCCAAGCCATGGCCTCCTCTAGAAGACTCCACTTGTGTTTGTAGGGCAATAGTTGCAAACCAGAGGCCCATAGACTTGTCTGACATAGTGTGTTTTAAAGATTGGAATTAGTTAACAAAAATCTAAATGTACCTCTTGTTTTGGAAAAATGAGAAATTCTGGCCTCTCGGGCCCACATTGCCCATGACACTGATGGGCTGAAGCTTAGTGGCATTCGTCAGACCCCTCATGGCTAGTTCTTCTGTAATCTCTCGAGTGGATGACCCTGATCGGGAGTGCACGGCATGGAGATGTGCACCCCCAGCTGCAGGAGATCTGTCTGAGCAGGCGGTGTGGTCAGGTGGGTTTTATCCTCACTGCCCATCAGAGTCACCTGATCCCTGGGCCTCACCCTAGAGAAGGCCAGATCAGTTGGTCTGGGGTGAGACCTGGGGGCGTTGTATTGAAATAATTCCAGACTTACAAGAATATAGAGCACCTGTATATCTTTCACCCTATTTTCTAAAAGTTAACATTTTATCACCTGTGCTTTATCATCCACTTTCTTTTTACATAGTAATTTTTTCTGAACTATTTGAGAATAAGATGCAGCCATGATGTTGCTCCATCTTTAAATACTTTGATGTATATTTCCTACAAAAAATTATGACCTAATTCTTCAAAACTGCACTGTGTCCTGGCTCAGCGCCTGGAGCTCAGTGGCTAGGACACCAGCCAGATATACCAGAGCTGACGGGTTCGAACCCAGCCCAGGCCTCCCAAACAACAGTGACAACTACAATCAAAAATAAATAAATAAATAAATTGCCAGGCATTGGGGCAGGTACCTGTAGTCCAGCTACTTGGGAAGCTGAGGCAGGAGAATCACTTAAGCCCAAGAGTTTGAGGTTGCTGTGAGCTGTGACGTTATACACTCTACCGAGGGTGACATAGTAAGACTCTTGTCTCAAAAAAAAAACCCCACAATACATCCAACAACATCATGGTTAGGGCTCTGGCCACATGCTCTGGGAGCTGGTGGGTTTGAACCCAGCCCGAGCCTGCTAAGCAAAAAAAATAGCTCGGTGTTGTGGCAAGCCACCTGTAGTCCCAACTACTTGGGAGGCTGAGGTAAGAGAATCACTTGAGTCCAAGAATTGGTGGTTACTGTGAGCTATGATGTTACAGCACTCTACAGAGGGTGACAGTGAGATTCTGTTTCAATTAAAAAAAAAACTGAAAGACATTAAAATTGTCATATCACTACCAACTTCTCCTCAGATGACTCCATTTACATTTCATCATTTGTCTCAAGAATGTGCTCTATAGCCTAAGGATTCTGTTCAGAATCACATATGGCGTTTCAACATTGGGTTTGTCTGATGTTTTCTCATGGGCAGCTCAGGTTCTGCATCTTTGGCCGGAATACCTCAGAAGGAACGTGGTGCTTCCGGCACATCCTATCGGGGCTCTCCCATGACTGGTGGTGTTCACTTGGGACACTTGGCTGAGGAGGGATCTGTCTGGTTTCTCCACTTCACAGCCTCTCTTCTCCGCTTTGTGATTAGCAAGTATCTTCTCTAAGATGGTGCAAATATCCTGTTCCTCACTAAACTTTCACTTAACTCGGCTTAGCAACGCTGTAACATTTTTCAAAAGTTCCTGAGGAAATTCCAATGTGCAGCCAGTACTGAGAATAGCTGGTCCAGAGGTCAGGGCTTTCCAATGTCTGGTTTGGTAACCTTGGGCAGGGAACGTCCCTGTATTAAGGTCTCCTCATCTGCAAAATTGGCTAAGGAGAGTCCTGACTTGGCTGGGCACGGTGGCTCACACCTATAATCCTAGCGTTGTGGGATGCCAAAGTGGGCAGATTGCCTGAGCTCAGAAGTTTGAGACCAGCCTGAGCAAGAGTGAGATCCCATCTCTACTAAAAATAGAAAAACTAGCTGGGTGTGGTGGTGGGTGCCTCACTACTTGGGAGGCTGAGGCAAGAAGATCACTTGAGGCCAAGAATTTGAGGTTGCTGTGAGCTCTGACATCACAGCACTCTAAAAAGAGTCCTGACTCCATGGAGAGTGAGTAAAGAATCAGTGCTGGCATGCCTACACAGTGTTTGCTAGAGGCCTGGCACGGGTTAGGGGTGGCTACGGACAACAGAAACCCCGCACCAAGCATGGCTTAAATAAAACACAAGGGTCTCTCTTTCTGAATGTGAGAAGTCTGGAGGTGGCCGCCCAGGGGGCTGGTGTCTCTTTGTGTTCCAGGGACTCAACTCCTCTGTCTTTCTGTTTATTGTGAGGTGTCTGTTCTTGACGTCACCTCTTGGCCCAGGGTGTCTGTTCTTTTTTTTTTTTTTTTTTTAGACAGAGCCTCAAGCTGTCCCCCTGGGTAGAGTGCCGTGGCATTACAGCTCACAGCAACCTCCAACTCCTGGGCTCAAGCGAGTCTCCTGCCTCTGCCTCCCGTAGCTGGGACCACAGGCGCCCGCCACAACGCCCGGCTATTTTTTGGTTGCAGCCGTCATTATTGTTTTGGCGGGTCCGGGCTGGGGATTCGAACCCGCCACCTTAGGTGTACATGGCTGGCGCCTTAGCCGGTTGAGCTATAGGCGCCGAGCCAGGGTGTCTGTTCTTGAAGTCACCTCTTGGCCCAAGATGGAATTCTGTGTCCTGAGGGGAACAGGTAGGGCACAGGGTAAAGGGCTCCCTTCAAGGAGCGATTCCCATGCAACTCGGTAGTTTACCTGTTACTGGCTAGACTAAGACATATAGCTCTACCTATGTCACTGCAGGAGAAGCAACAAATGTACTATAGCTGGGCACGTGGCCATCCCAGTTAAAATTGGGCTCATGTCAGCGAGGGAGGCAGGGGCAAGTAGATATTGGGTAGGCAGCTCACCCTGCTGTTCTGAGTAATGGGAACAGCCATGGGAAGCCACCAGAAGGTTGACCTAGTGATGATAAACATTCTATGAGTTTGTCAAGGTCTCACTTAGAGGCATTTACTTGGTTATCTACATGCCAGTCACTCATGTGGCAGAGACAATGACTGTTATGGAACAAAAGTAAAAACGGTATTACAAATGAGAGGGGAGAGGGAAAAATTATGCCGTCTGGGAATGGTGACTCTTGTAGCCACAAATGCGCAGATTACTCAGGTCCTTTCAGCTGGCGAGGAGTATCAGAGGGAGACGTTTTGGTTGTTGATAGGTTTTGCAGAAGAGCTTGAGTGTTTAGCAGTAGAGCACGTGCTGCAGACTCTCGCATGATGGCTGCCGAGGCCCTCCCATCAGCAGTACACCCTTAGTTAGGCCGAGTCTGCATCATTTGCTGCATCAGTATTTCTTAGGGCTGCAGGTGGGGGTCTCAGAATGCCCACCTCTGTAGAGGAGGGAGAAAGCAGGGTCTCTGAATAGTGTGCACCCATTTGGGGTTTGGTATTTGAAGGTGGAAGAGGCCTTTCTTTTGCCCCCTTTCCTTTGTGCTATGCTGGGCACACAGGTACCACGGCCTCTGTGGAGCTGCTGAAGCTCATCCCTCTTGGCCTTTCCTGAGCCAGGAGTGGGCAGAATGCTGAGCGTAGCCAGGCTGGGGCCTATCTGCGCACCCTCCATGGAACCAGTGATCACCTCTTTTCCTTGTCCCCAGGAAGTCTCTGAGTGCTCTGGCCTTCTCCCCTGATGGGAAGTACATAGTGACTGGGGAGGTGAGTTACAATCATGTTTGGGCAGGTGGGGAGTTCTTGGGGCCATTCCTTCTGCTCCCAGTGGGACTGGAAATCCCTGGGATAGCTTCTTCCTGGGCCAGAAAAGCACCTTGGCAGATAGGGGAAGTGCCTTTTGGGTACATCCTCTGGCAATGCCACCTTCACCCCTGACAGCCCCTCTAGCCTGCCTGGTACTGAACCAGTGGCAGTAATGGCCCTACCTTCCCCAGAATGGGCACAGGCCTGCAGTGCGCATCTGGGATGTGGAGGAGAAAACTCAGGTGGCAGAGATGCTGGGCCACAAGTATGGTGTGGCCTGCGTGGCCTTCTCACCCAATATGAAGCACATCGTGTCCATGGGCTACCAGCATGACATGGTACTCAACGTCTGGGACTGGAAGGTGAGAGCTGGCCAGCAGGCATGTGGGTGGCAGGCAGAGGATCCCGAGTCTCAGGCCTTGGGAGACCAGTGAGAGGACTCAGTAAAGTGCTTGTTCACCCAGCTGTTCACAGAATACCTACTACGTGCCCATCCCCTAGTGTAGAGCACATGGCAGACTCCTAGCTAGTGGAACTAATATAACTATTTTTGTATTAACTAGCTGTGACCTTGGGCAGGTGACTTAATCTCTCTGAGTCTATTTCCGCCTTCTGAATTGTGAGACTTTAGTGAGTTGACCTACACGTGCTAGGCTGGAGTTTTTCTTTCTTTCTTTCTTTTTTTTTTTTTTTTTTGAGATAGAATCTTATTTTCTCACCCTCAGTAGAGTGCTATGATGTCATAGCTCACAGCAGCCTCAAACTCTTGGGCTCAAGTGATCCTCTTGCTTCAGTCTCTTGATTAGCTCTGACTACAGGCACCCACCACAATGCCTGGCTAGTTTTTCTATTTTTAGTAGAGACAGAGTCTTGCTCATGCTCAGGCTGGTCTCAAACTTCTGAGCTCAAGGGATCCACCCACCTCAGCCTTCCAGAGTACTAGGATTACAGGCGCGAGCCACCATACCTGGCCTAGGCTGGATTTTTGAACAGCTGGGTGAGTACTTGGAGTCAGCAGAAGTGGCTACCAAGTGCTAGCTCTGCCCATAATCTTCTATGTGATCTTGAGTACATGACATCTACTCTAAGCCTGGCAGGTAGGAAAGAAGCACCTCCCTTGTAGGGCTGTCAGGAGAGTCCATGGTTATCCCATGAAGGGCTCAGGGCAGGACCCAGACCAAGAGCTCTACCTGTGACAGCTGTAAGTTTCACTGTCTTTACCTCCCAGCTGTGACTGTCCCCATCACTGAGTGGGCTACAGACCTTGCACCCTTGCAGAAAGCTCTAGAACATGGTCTCCCATGAGGACTTTTCCAAACCTCAGTCTCCTCCTCTGTAGATGAGGAATAACAGGAGTGCTATGCACAGACTTCCCCATGAAGCAGCTCCCTGGAGTGGCCGAGGAAGGCAGACTTGGATCAGGATGAGCATGGAGACCTAGGGCTGGGGGCAGAGGTACACTTCCAGGAGGATCGGTGTTGGTGTGAGCTTTTCTGCACTGATTCTTCCAGAAAGACATCGTGGTGGCCTCCAACAAGGTATCATGCAGAGTCATCGCCCTCTCCTTTTCAGAGGACAGCAGCTATTTTGTCACTGTCGGGAGCCGGAATGTGAGGTTCTGGTTCTTGGAAGTCTCCACTGAAACAAAGGTGAGTTTCTGTCCCCACCACCTCTGTCAGGCTCTGAAGGCATCACTGTTAGCCGCAGGGTGGGCTCCTGTTTCTTGGGGACAGTGATGTCAGAAGTCACCTGACCTCTTAGGGGGTCCAGATTCTGCTTCTGGGTCTGCTCTCCAGGTGCTAACTGGCAGGCCTGCTGGGAAAACCCCCCCCACCCGGGGCCGCACCTCATTCTTGGGCTACTGCCATTCAGCCCTTCTGCCCAGAGTGGCATTGTTCTGTGTTTTCTCTCCTTGTCTTCTGCTTGGAAGAGTTTCTTAGAGTTCTGTTAAGCTATGTCATATCCTCTGGCCCACTGTGGCTGTGTCTCACTGTGCCCTGCCATGCCTCTAGGTGACAGGCACAGTGCCCCTCATAGGACGTTCGGGCATCTTGGGTGAGCTGCACAACAACATCTTCTGTGGTGTGGCCTGTGGCCGGGGCCGGATGGCAGGCAATACCTTCTGTGTGTGCTACTCGGGCCTCCTCTGCCAGTTCAACGAGAAGAGGGTGTTGGAGAAGTGGATCAACCTGAAGGTATCCAGCCTCCCTCTCTGTCGTCAATGGCAGAGACTCTCTTTCCCTGTGACCTGTGTCTCCAGAGATGCTTAAATGGCTATTGATGAATGGGTCCCCCTCCCTGAGCCTCAAGTTCCACATCTGTAAAATGGGAAGGCTGCTGCCTTCCAGAGTTGATAAGAAAGTCACTATGATGTGACTTTACAGAAAATAGCACAGTAGGCTCGGCGCCTATGGCTCAAGTGGCTAAGGCGCCAGCCACATACACCTAAGGTGGCAGGTTTGAATCCAGCCCGGTCCCAAACAATGACAGCTGCAACCAAAAAATAGCTGGGCATTGTGGTGGGCGCCTGTGGTCCCAGCTACTTGGGAGACTGAAGCAGGAGACTTGCTTGAGCCCAGGAGTTGGAGGTTGCTGTGAGCTGTGAAGCCACAGCACTCTACCCAGGGGGACAGCTTGAGGCTCTGTCTCAAAAAAAAAAAAATAGCACAGTACCTAGCGCTGGAGTCAAGGCTACAGTTGTTTTCCATCTCTGTGTGATCCCTTCTCTTCATTGAGTACTCTTGACTGGTGGAAGGGGCTGCATTTTTTTTTTTTTAATCTAAGGTAACATTGACTTAATTTTTCAATCAAGGCTGGGTACAATGGCTCTCACCTGTAATCTTAGCATTCTGCAAGGCCTGGGCCAGGTGGATCGTTTGAGCTTGAGTGCAGCCTGATCAAGAGCAAGACCTCATCTGTATTAAAAATAGAAAAACTATCTGGGTATTGTGGTGGGCACCTATAGTCCCAGTTACTGGGGAGGCTGAGGCAAGAGGATCACTTCAGCTCAGGAGTTTGAGGTTGCTGTGAGCTGGGCTGAGGCCAGGTACTCTAGCCCAGGCAACATAGCAAGATATCTCAGACCCAGGGAACTATAAGTCATCTCTGAAGACCTAAGGCTGCTCTGTGTCCCTGAGCCAGACTATATGAAGCATCAAACCTACTTGGATTGCATTTGCTCCCACAGGTCTCCCTGTCTTCCTGCCTCTGTGTCAGCGAGGAGCTCATCTTCTGTGGCTGCACGGATGGGATAGTCCGCATCTTCCAGGCCCACAGCCTGCACTATCTTGCAAACCTGCCCAAGCCTCACTACTTGGGGATAGATGTGGCACAGGGCCTGGAGCCCAGGTACGGCCTGTCCACTGGCATCCATCTGTGCTTCCAGATCTATCTTCCTGTCTGTCCATTCTACAAATGCTAGTGACAACTCTCAGCCCTGGGCATTACTACAGGGAGCAAAGCTCCCAAGGCAAGCTCCAGGGTGAGAAGTGAGGCCAGGTGGGTGCGAACAAATAACTTCACAGAGTAGCAGGTGCTGTGAAGGAGACCTCAGAGCAGGCCTGGGTATGGTGGGACATTTCCATCCCTGTGGCTAATGCTGATAAGCAGCTACTGAGTGTCAGCCTAGACTGGACGCAGGTAACAGCTACAAGTCAGCAAAATCTCTGCCACCAGAAAGACTGTCGTCTAGTGAGGGGGCTTGATGATAAATAAATACACAAACAGGATAATTTCAGACAGTCATAAATCCTTAGATGAAATAAAGCAGGGACCTGGGAAGGAGAGTGCCTGGAGGTGGTGGGCTGTGTTAATCAGGTGTCTAGTGAGAAGGAGCCAGCCATGTGGAGAGCAGGGTCCCAGCAGCAAGTGTAAAGATCTTCAGGTGACAACACACTGGGCTCATCAAGTTGTAGGAATAGCAAGGGACTGTGTGGCCAGAGCCCAGTGTACTGGGGCAGGACAGCAGGAGATAAGGCCAATGGGAAGAGCTTATAGTCTAAGATCAGAGAACAGCCACTGAGGGCTTCAGGCACTGGAGTGAAATGACCAGGCCTTGCACAGTGGATTCCTTGGCTATTGCATTGACAGTGGGTGGAAGGGCTAAGGTGTGGTTTCTCTGCCCCTTTGTCGTAATTCTATTTTATGGAGGTGGGGGAGGCTGCCCAACCAGGGGGTGCTGGGTGCCTTGGACTGCCTCTATGTAGATTGCTGGACACTAGCTCCTGGGTGCCTTTTCCCAGAGACCCTAAACAGGGCAACTGGGTGTCAGAAAGGAAAGAGAGGATGGGGTGAGCAACCCACAGATGGTGGTGTTGTAGTAGCCAGGCCCCCTAGCTCTGTCACCTTCTTTGTATGCTGTGTGGCCATGGGCAGGTCACTGCCACTCCCTATACTTCTCATCTATAAAATGTAGTATCTACTACTCGTGGAGGTTGTGAGACTTCACTGCAGCTAAAACTATCATCTTGGTACAAAGTCAATGCTTGGTTAACTGTAGCCTTTGTAAGGAGGCCTCAGGCCAGGGGACAGCTCCCCAGCCTCCTCATATGAGGGGTTTTGATTATGTTTTGATGAGGCCAAGGAGAGAGGAGTGTGAGGTATGTTCCCATTATCCCAGGCTCAGAGAGACAACAGGAGCTTGGATTATTTAGACTGAGGGAAGAAAAATATTAATAGGAATTGCGACTCAAATGTTTACAGGGCCAGGCAAAAGGTTCTAGTTTGCCACCTCTAGCGAGGGAAGAAGGAGAAGTGGAATTAGAGTTAGAGAGTCATAAATACTACAAGGGATGGCGTTGCCAGGCAGAAGGCAGCTCCACTGTCCATAGAGGTGACCATCACTGCTCACAGTGGCCTTGATGGTGATTGATGACCCATGTGGCCTTGTTAGCTTCCTCTTCCGCAGGAAGGCAGAAGCCGTTTATCCAGATACAGTGGCGCTGACCTTCGACCCCATCCACCAGTGGCTGTCCTGCGTGTATAAGGACCACAGCATCTATATCTGGGACGTCAAAGACATCGACAAAGTGAGCAAGGTGTGGTCGGAGCTCTTCCACAGCTCCTATGTCTGGAACGTGGAGGTGAGCCCTTTCCCCTCTGCCGCCGCTCAGCTGCCCCTTGGGGGCACTGGTGGAGGAAACCTCCACAGAGTTTGGGGAATCAGTTCAGTAATTCCTTCCAAAGATTTTCATTTGCCCCCCCTACTATGTGTTAGGCCCTGTTCTAGCTGCTGGGGACACAGTTGAGAAGGGAATAGACAAAAACTCCTGCCCTCGGGGAGCTCACATTTGGGTGGGAAAGTAAACTTGGAAACATCATCAATAAATAACATGCCAAGAATAATACTTCTCTGAAAACAGTTACTCACAGCAGGGGAAAGGGGGACTGAGGTACTATTCCAGAGAAGACAGTGGTCAGGGAAGGGCTCTCTGGTAATGTGACAGTTGAGTAGAGACCTGTAGGAAATGAGGGGGTGGAGCATGAGACTATTGGGAGGGACAGCAAGAGCCAAGGTCCTGTGGCAGGAACTGGTTCCCCACACTCAGAGAGCTTGCTGTGAAGGGTTGTTTGTGTATTTTACTGCCTTTTTGTTTGTTTTCATTTCTGAGATTAAATTTGTGGATTTTTAAAAACTCTCTAAAGCTGTCCTAAGTACTTCTTGCATGTAAGACAACTCACAGAGAAAGGAATTGTTTTCTACTGGGTTTTTTTTTTTTTTT